GGCGATGGGGGCGCAGGGCGCCCCCTCCTATATGGCGCCCTAGGCAGCTGCCTAGTTCGCCTTATAGGAAGTGCCGGCCCTGCATGGAGGCATGGAACGGCCGGGCGATCTTCGGGTCCACCCCGGACCTGGTGATAGAGTCGGACGCCAGCTTACATGGCCGGGGCGCGCGCTGCGGCTCTATATCCACAGGAGGCAGATGGTCCACGGAAGAGTCCTTCTTACACATAAACTCTCTGGAACTGCTGGCAGCCTCGTTCGCCATTCGCAGTCTCTCACCCAAAGGCATCTCATGCTCAATCCTACTCAAGCTGGACAATGTCTCGGCGGTACGATACCATCTAGGGGGGACCAGGTCCCGCATCCTAGCAGTTTTGGCCCGAGACTTCTGGAATTACAGAACAATGTGTCCGTTACCGCGGAACACATCCCAGGCCTAGGCAATTATACTGCGGACTGGAACTCCCGCTACTTGAGGGACTCGGGAGATTGGAGACTTCGACCGAGCGTGTTCCGCAAGATCTCATCCCTATAGGGACCTTTGAGCATGGACCTGTTTGCATCCAGACTAAACACGCAACTACTGAGGTTCTGCAGCTGGAGACCAGACCCGGAGGCCATAGCGACCGACGCTTTCCTCCAAGATTGGTCCAAGGGCAGGGCATACGCCTTCCCGCCTTTCAATCTAATAGCCCGGTACCTAGCGCACCTCCGACGCTTCAAGAGCTCGTTGGTCCTGTTAACCCCGTGCTGGAGATCCCAACCTTGGTTTCCACACCTATTGGAGATGGCGATAGACCACCCAAGGCTACTCCCGGACCATCCATCTCTGCTGACCAACCCGGACGGGGAGAGCCATCCACTAGTGGAACAAGGCCTTCTCCGCCTCATGGCTTGGCTCCTTTCCGGGGACCCTGGGAAATCACAGAGGTTTCGAGCACAACTATGCAATTCCTGACAAACGCATGGGCACCTGGAACACGGCACGCATATACTGCGGCATGGAGACAGTGGGCCAATTGGTGCTTGGAATGATCGTTGGATCTGGTATCAGCCCCTGTGAAGTCGGTGTTGGACTTCCTAACGCACCTGTTCGAAGCAGGCAAAACCTTCCGCACGGTCAACGTATTCCGTTCCGCCATATCAGCTGGACATGACCAGGTGGACGGACTCCCACTTGGACAGAACCCTCTAATCTGTTGCCTGCTCAAGGGAGTCCGGTTCTCACGTCCCCCTGCATCCAGATATGGATCCTTCTGGGACGTCAACTGTGTGTTCAGATTCCTAGACGACTGGCCCTCTAACATAGAGCTGTCCCTTAAACAACTATCAGCAAAGCTACTTATGCTATTCTGTTTACTATCCTGTAAACGGGTATCGGATGTAAGAGCCTTGGACTGGCGGGCCCGCACGTTCACTCCGGAGGGAGTGTCGTTCGATATCTCACGGAGAACTAAATCGGCTACTAAACAGGTTTTCTATCCGAGAATCACGAGTTTGCCCAACTTATGCACAATATCATGCCTGAAGGAGTACGAGTCTCGCACCTCTACGCTACGTCCGTCCAATGACGGACCCCTGTTCATCTCCCTGAAGAAACCTCATCTACCTGTATCTACCCCGACGGGATCGATGTCTCAGTTTTCTCATCCCACTCTGTTAGAGGCGCCATGGC